ATTAAGAAAAAGGAATTGGATGAGATTAATGCAAAGATAAGAGAATTGTAAAGGGTTTTCGATGATAAAAAGAAATAACAAGAAGATTTATAGAAGAAGATTAAAGAGTGCGAAGTTAAATTGGAAAGAGCATAAAAGTTGACTGAAGGTTTGAGTGATGAAAAGGAGAGATGGGCAAAAGATATTGAAAGTCTTACTAATAGTGGTGGCTTAATACCTGGTAATTCTATTATAGCTGCAGGAATGGTTGCTTACTCTGGACCATTTATATCATAATATCGTATCAGAATGGAATAAGATTGGAGAGCTAAATTAAAGGAATATAACATTCCATTTTCTGATTTAATTACAATGAGGAAATTCTTAGGTGATGAAGTTAAAATTCAATCATGGAATATTTGTGGATTACCAAAGGATGACACTTCAATTGAAAATGGTATCATAATAGACAAGAGTAGAAGATGGACTTTGATGATTGATCCATAATCTTAAGCTAATAAATATATTAAAACTATGGGTAAAGACTTACCAGAAGGATTGGATGTCTTGAAATAATCAGATTAAAATTTGATGAGAACCTTGGAGTTGGCTATTCAATTTGGTAAATGGGTTTTAGTAGAAAATGTTGGATTATCGTTAGATCCCTCTTTGGAACCTATTCTATTATAATAAATCAGTAAGACTGGAACATCTGCTACAATACAAATTGGAGATAAGAATCTACAATATAATTTTAGTTTCAGATTCTTCATGACAACCACTCTTCCAAATCCTCATTATTCTCCTGAAACTTCAGTTAAAGTAACCATTATTAATTTTGCAATTACTCCACTAGGATTAGAAGAACAGATGTTGGCATAGATAGTGGCATTGGAGAATCCTAATTTAGAAAATAAAAAGACTGAAATAGTTAGAAAGAATGCATAAGATAAGAAAGAATTAGTTAACATAGAAGATAGTATTTTAAGAAGTTTGTCTGAAACCAAGGGAGACATTTCAGAAATATTGATGGATGAGACTCTCATCAATAAATTATAAAATTCAAAGAAGTTTGCTGCTGAAATTAATCAAAGAGTTAAGGATTCCAAAATAACCGAAGCCCAAATAGATGAAGCTAGAGAATCATATAGATCAGTTGCATTCAGAGCTTCATTACTTTTCTTCTGTATTATAGATTTATCCACAATTGATCCTATGTATTAATACTCTTTATAATGGTTCATCAACTTGTTCACTTTAGGTGTTTAGAATGCACCTGCATCATAGGTTTTGGAAGAGAGATTGGTTCATCTCAATAACTTCTTTACTTACATGTTATATGAAAATGTTTGTAGATCATTATTTGAAAAACACAAACTTCTATTTTCATTTATGTTGACATATAAAATACTGAGTGCTGCTCATAAAATGAATGAAGGAGAATGGAGATACTTATTATAAGGTGCTACAGGAGATGTTCAATTACCACCAAATCCAACTGAATGGATTAGTGAGAATACATGGCCAGAGACTTATAGAAACATCTATGGCATGTCTGAATTGATCAATTTTGATGGCATTCTATCTGATTTCATGAGTAATTCTGATAAATTTAAAACTATTTTTGATGCTCCCAATCCTCAAGATATTGAATTCCCAGAACCTTGGAATGAGAAATTAGATTCATTTTCAAGAATATTGTTATTAAAAGCAATTCGAAGTGATAAAGTGATTCCAGCAATTCAAAAATGGATTATAGAGAAGATGGATGAGAAATTCATCATCCCACCTACATTTGATTTGAGTAAATGCTACAAAGATTCCACTCCTAATACTCCACTCATATTTGTATTATCTCCTGGTTCTGATCCTATTGCAGATCTAATGAAATTTGCAGAGGAAATGAGTATGACTAAGAGAATTGATTCTATTTCTTTGGGTTAAGGATAAGGTCCAAAGGCTGAAAAATTAGTTAAAGATGCTTTAGGCAGAGGTGGATGGGCATTGTTAATGAATTGTCATTTAGCAACATCTTGGATGAATGATCTTGAAAAGCTTAATGAAGAAATGTAAGATTAAGGCACAAAAGATTTTAGATTATGGTTAACATCTATGCCTTCAAAATCATTCCCAACAATTGTATTATAGAATGGTGTTAAAATGACACTTGAACCACCAAAAGGTCTTAGAAATAATATGCTCAGAACTTACACCTAATTAGATGATAAAACATTAAGTGATTGTAAGAAACCTGAGGAATTCAAGAAATTATTATTTGGCTTCTCTTTATTCCATGCAATCATTTAGGAAAGGAGAAAATTCGGAGCCATTGGATGGAACATTCCTTATGAATTCACGAATGAAGATCTCACTGTATGTAGAAGACAATTAAAAAGTTTATTAGATGATTATGTACTCATACCATTCAAAGTTATCAATTATCTTGGAGCAGAAATTAATTATGGTGGTAGAGTTACTGATGATAAGGATGTTAGATTAATTAAAACCATTCTGAAATTGTACATTTCCCAAGAAGCATTAAAAGAAGGCTATCAATTTTTAGTTCCTACTTATTACCAACCTAATGTAGGTGAAAGATTGAATTATATAGAGTATATTGAAAAATTACCATTGAATCCTGAACCTGAAGCATTTGGATTACATAGCAATGCTGAAATAACCAATGCTTAAAACGAAACTAGAATTCTCTTAGAAACTTTATAATCTATTCAACCAAGGACACAATAAGGAGCAGGGAAATGCAGAGAAGATGTTATTGAAGAATTAGCCAATTTCGTTGAATCTAAGACTCCTGATCTATTTGATATCGATGAGATTTCAAACAGATATCCTACTGATTATCAAGAATCCATGAATACTGTTCTAGTTCAAGAACTTATACGTTATAATAGGTTGCTTGCCATTATGAAAACTACACTCTCTAATGTTAAAAAAGCGCTTAAAGGGCTAATTGTGATGTCAGAGGAAATGGAGAAATTGTCAAACAGTCTTTATGATAATTAAGTGCCTCAATTATGGGCAGAGAAAGGATTTCTAAGTTTGAAACCCTTGGCTTCCTGGACTCAAGATTTACTAGATAGAATCGCCTTTCTTAAACATTGGGTAGATAAAGGAACACCTAAGGTTTTCTGGATTTCTGGTTTCTTCTTCCCTTAGGCTTTCATTACTGGTATGGTACAAAACTACGCCAGAAAACATGTCATTGCCATTGATAAATTATAATATGAGTATATAGTGTTGGATACCCTTACTCACACAGGTGTAACTGAGAAACCAGAAGATGGAGTCTATATTTATGGAATCTTTCTTGAGGGAACTAAGTAATAATATAATATTAAATTAATTAGATGGGATTTCAAGAGGCATTTGATAGCATAACCTAAAGTTAAGGAATTATATTCAGATTTACCTTTAATGCACTTGCTACCGTATGATCCATCACAGGTTGAAGTGCAACCCAAAGATCCGAAGGAAAAGAAGATTTACAAATACCAGTGTCCATTGTATAAAGTGGTTTCAAGGGTAAGGATTTGTAATAATCCTAGGCTGGTACACTCTCAACAACAGGACATTCTACTAATTTTGTTATGCCACTTGAATTGCCATCGAGAGATGATGAAGATGTGTGGATTAGAGCAGGTGCAGCGGCCTTCTTATCATTAAGATATTGAAAATAATATATATTTTTTATTTAATGCAAATGATAAATAAAATTTATGTTTAAAATTTATGACATAGTAACCCCATTAGATTTAACATATTATTAATAATATAGGAATATACATTTGATTTGAAGGATTAATTAATCGCTGAATTGTTGATGGGGATCAAATTTGGAGGTTAGAAAATCAGATTTAGGAAATTAAGAATGTACTTTACATTTTCTTTTTTTCTAGAAATCCCTAAGAAAGTCCAATGTAATAAAAATGTAAGTAAATAAATATGATAGATGGATTTCCAGGATTAGAGGGCTGTGTTTAAATATTATGATAAAAATTATTAAAGAATATATATAATAGAGAAAACAATTTAATAATAATAGAAGTTGAGAAAAATCATTAATATAATTAATTATTATTATTAATATTAATTAGTGTAAATAAATTGATTAACTTGAATAAATTCTCGACTGGATGAAGTTGTGCAGAAAAACTTTGTACATTTGTTGTAGTGAAAATAAAATGGTGACAAAAAAGGATTACAATATATACACTTGATCACACCACTCAATTCAGCTTAGTCTTTTTGAACCCGCACCTCGAATAATGATAATCCATGAGTTCGTAATATTGTGAGATGCAATTTTGAGACTTTAGCTTCTTATTAGGCATAAGAGCTTGATTATTACGTAATGAAGGCTAGTAATTTAAATAAAAATTAAAGTTAATGAGTGCATCGCTTTCTGCTTCGCAATGATCTTTTGTCACAGAAAAAGATACATCACATTTTAGGCCCTAGGGAAATGAGAAATAATTTCTTACTTGTGGGTAAAGGGGAGAGTACAAATAGAAATCTTACATCTCCGTTGGTTTCGTCAGAGGTTTGGCAAACTCCATAACGTTTTTGTAGTAATCGACATTTGAGCACCCAGGTTATAAAGATATTCTTGGCATTAATTAATAAATTTTGTACTCCGGAATTCCTATCTTCATGCACGAGTCAACAAAGTATTGTACTGAGTATCCTAAATCTTCCACCAATTTGATGTCCAATACCAAACCTGAGATGAAAAATTGATTTAAGCCCTTCAAATACTTGTATTGGTATGTCCCAAATGATCTGTAATTGTCTGGGGGAACCTAGAATAATGTTGATAGTATATTGTGAACTACTTATTCAATTTCTCCCTATTTTAAGCCAGAGTTTAGTTGCTCGTAGTACTTCTTTATGTATTCGCTCAATTCATTCATTTAAACATCACCAAAACTTTATAATCTTTTGGCCACATATTCCCAAGGAGTTTCAGAAAAATCAAGTTAAGTGTAGCATAATTTGAGTACCCCAGCAGATTAATCAACGAGTATTTTGGAAATTTTTTTATAGGGATTTTGACAACTGATACCAGTTTTAAGCATTTCGTGCTATCTGATGTGACGAGCATCTGCAAATAGATGGAAGTCCTTAAATATCATCATAAAAATAAGATACTCCTTTCATCCTGTAAGTGCTAAGGGGATTTAGAAACTTTTTGGGGAAAACTATTAAAGATACCTCCTTCCCTTTCTAAATGTCTGTTTCCTCACCATGAATCGGCGTTGAATGTTGCATTTGATCGATTTACATTATTAATTTATTTATTTTTAAATTATTGGATCTCAAAAAATTATAAATAGAGTTTCTTATATTAATTATACGATTTTATATAATGTATAATTTAAATTGTATTAATTCTCAATAAAGTTGATTTAAATTAATTAAATTAGAATATAATTAATTAAAATGTTAATCTTAAATAAAATCATATTTCTCAGTTCTAGATCGCACAGTAAGTAACTCAGTAAGATCTTTTAATTCATCCTCCTTACATTGTTTCTTACCTACATTAGAAAAAAATCTTGAATTTTAAGTGTAATATACCTTAGAAGGTATTGATTTGTTATTAAATGTTTTGAGTTCAATGAATTACCTTTTTGACACAAAAAACAATTGTTTAGACTATCAATTTAATTTAGATTCCAATTAGAATTATAAAAATTAAATGCCTTAATTAAATCAAATACTATGATGGGATAAGATTTTACAAGTACAAGTTTCATCATTTTAGACTCCTTTATTAAAAAACGATTCTGAACACAATATCATATTTAAAAAATGAACTTATTATTATATAAGAAATCATGATCGAATGTAACATAATAATAACTTAAAATTAGGGCTATATTTTAACTAATCACTATTATTTGTTATTATAATTGTTAGTACCATTTTTAATATTAAGATTTTTCAAAATGTTTTTCGTATTTAAAATTGAAAAGTCTTTAAGTAATCTTATTAGAATAGCAAACCTATAATGAGTTTATTAACTTCTCCTTTTTGGTTTTTGGGAACTTTTTGTAATTTTAATACTTAAACAGGCTCAACCACCATTTAAGCATCATAAATCTCATAAATAGCATCAATCCAATGATGTAATTGATTACAAAAATCCATCTTATATTCCTAAGAAAAAGTAAAAAATTTATACAATTTTGAAATTCTTACCATAAATCAAAAGTGATTTCGTTGTCTTAAATCAATTCTGGGCGGTAATTGCCATTATAAAGGAATAAAGATACATATGTTAATAATTTAGATTATAATTATAAGGTTTTTCATGACGTAATAATGTCTCAATATAAATGAGTGGGAACCTTGAGTAGTATAATTAATATATGAAAATAGCAGAATCAAATGATAACTCAGAAAAATTGTTGTCAAAATTACATTTTAATTAAGTTGCCTTCCAACTACCCTAACAAGTCCAAGAGGAAGCAACTATTGCGTAGATACTATCCTATCGAAGTCCCGTGTATAAACGTTTGCTTTACTATACATTTTGCATTTTGACTTGTAAAATAATTAGTTAAAAAGTATAGTGGGTATTGGATATCTATTTGCCAGATGGAATTTATCATTAAAGCTAGCTTTGTTATATAGCTAATGTATTGACGTGGAGTAAGCAACTCACTTGGTCATAACTTCATTGGAGAATGAAAAAGAACTAATAAAGGTTGGATTAAAGAAAATGCAGATCAATAAGAGCGAAAAGTAAAGTAAGGTAAGAAGAATACGAATATATAATTTAGTCCTTCGAATATCGTTTATATACATATATCTATGAGGATGAATGTTTTAAAGCCATAGAAACACCATTCTAGACCTTAACCCATGAAGACATTATAAAAAATTATTCTCAAGGAGTATAATTCCCCGTGGAAATAGCATCTTAATATGGGTATAATAATACAACAATACCTGACAAAAGTACAGGTAAAATCTTGATTGATGAAATTTTAACCCCGTTTTATTTGTTTCAAATTTTTAGTGTGTGTCTGTGGAGCATTGAAGAATATTATGAATACGCAGTAGTCATATTTTTGACATCTATCATTTCTATATTAGTGCAACTTAGAGAAACAAAACTGAATTTTGCAAAACTTAGGGAAATGACTTCTTAAGATTCAGTGGAAAATGTGTTTAGAGGTCAAAATGACATTGTTATATAAAATAAAGAAATTATTGTGAATAAGACAGTCACAAACAACAAATAGAAATTAAGTTCAAAAACAATAGTACCAGGTGATTTAATAGAAGTGAGAGATGATTGGACAGTACCATGTGATTGCATCCTATTAAATGGTTCATGTATCATCAACGAATCAATGCTCACAGGAGAGTCAATACCAATCATCAAAAACCCAATTCAATTCAACCAGCTAATCTATTCGCCAAACGAAGACTCTAAGGCTATCACATTGTTTGCTGGAACTAAATGCTTAGAAGCACGACATCCACAGAAAGGTGAGGTTCCAATTTTGGCATTGGCAGTCTAGACAGGGTTTTCAACCATTAAAGGATAATTGGTCAGATCTATTCTGTATCCCAAACCAACTACTTTCTCATTCTACAAGGATTCCTTATCCTTTATAGCAGTTCTGGCGATGATGTCTTTAGTGGGCTTTTCTTTGACAATAAAAGATTAGGTGGATGAACTCAAAGAAGATAATACTACCATATTTCAGATGATCATCAATTCATTAGATTTGATCACAATTACTGTGCCTCCAGCATTGCCTACATGTCTATCGATAGGAGTGTCATTTGCTTTATCGAGATTGAGCAAGAAGTCAATTTATTGTATATCTCCCAATAAGGTGAATGTGGCTGGGAAAATAACCATAATGTGTTTTGATAAAACAGGTACCTTGACTGAAGATGGTCTTGATCTTTATGGCGTCCGATCTATTGGATACAATCAAAGTATATTTTCAATATATATTTTTTATAGAAAAATAGAAGATTTGCTTTTAGGATTTAATAATAGATGTGAATTAATTGCCCATTCCTAATGTCATGTTTTCAATGAACTTTGGTTAAAATGTATATGGACAGACAAAGTTACAACCTACATAATTGATTCTGGAAATCATGGCATCCTGTCATGGATTGGCTAGAGTGAATGGTCAGTTGATAGGTGATCCATTGGAAGTAAAAATGTTTGAAGCTACGAGTTTTGAATTGGACGATCTCCATAATGAAGTCTTTAAGGATGAAGACAGGATTAAAATATTAAAACGATTTGATTTTTCATCGACTCTTTAGAGAATGAGTGTTATCGTTTCACGAAATGATAAATTGAGAGTGCATGTTAAAGGATCTCCTGAGAAATTGAGAGAATTATGTAATCCTGCAACAGTGCCTAGAAGTTTTCATAAGATACTTGAGCATTATTCAAAGATGGGATTCAGAGTGTTGGCTTGTGGATCCAAAGTCATTGAAAATGAATGTAATAGAGATAAGGCTGAATGCAATCTGACATTTTTAGGGTTCATGATTATGTAGAATAAACTTAAACCAGTTACTCGTAGTATAATTCAAACATTGTAAGATGCAATGATCAGAACAGTGATGGTCACAGGTGATAATGTTTTAACTGCCATTTCTGTTGCCAGATAATGTAGTCTGGTGTAACCAAATTAACGTATCTTCTTGGGAGACATCGCAGAGGAAAAGTTGGATGGTAAGAATCACATCACTTGGAAAGACTTTGATATGAACGACAAGGTACTAAATCCAGAGAATTTATCTCCTGAATTGGATATTAAAGATGATTCAGGGGATGAATTTGAAACGCCTGAATTATTCGGGTAATATGAATAGGAACATGAATAATAAATGGAAATCATCATAGAGGAGAATGAGAAAATTGGCAATACTTAAAGTAGTGAAAATAGAAAAACAATGAATTTGAGGAAGAGCAAATATGAGAACTATAAGGAATAGGAGGAAAGACTAAAAGCTGAAAATCTTGATCATCTAATAGACGACCAAGATCCATGGAAGACAGATCAACCATTTGTAGTAGCCATATCTGGAAAGGCATTCTAATTGTTACTGAATCAAATTGACACAAATCCAAAGGCTAGAAGACTGTTTGGTTTGATGTTGGAGAAAGCTTAGATTTTTGCAAGAATGAAGCCTGAGCAGAAGGCTTAACTCATTACTCACCTGTAAAAGATTAGCAAGAAGGCTCTATGTGGAATGTGTGGTGATGGAGCAAATGATTGTGGTGCATTAAAAGCAGCTGATATAGGAATCTCATTGTCTGATGCAGAGGCATCAATAGCTGCTCCTTTTACTTCCAAGGTTCAGAACATCTCGTGTGTTGTCAAATTATTGAGAGAAGGAAGAGCGTCTTTGGTTACAAGTTTCTAATGTTTCAAATACATGGCCTTGTATAGCATGATTCAATTTTGCACAGTGACCTTGCTGTATTTCACCCTTTCAAACATGTCTTCATTGGAATATTTCTATATCGACCTATTTATCATCATACCATTGGCAGGAACCATGGGACAAACTAAGGCTTATAAAAAGCTTACTCAATTTCAACCTGGATCAAATTTAATTTCTTTTCCCGTTCTATTGTCAGTGATCGGACAAACCTTAATCTAGATAGGATTTTAGACTTTTGTTTACTTTTACATGAAGAGTCAACCCTGGTATAGGTCGGGAGTGGATATTCATAAGGATATAGGGGATGTTGATGATCATCTTGAGATGGAAACGTGTTATGAAAATACTGTGTTGTTCTTGTATGCGAATTTCCAATATGTGTTCCAGTGTGTTGCTTTTTCAATTGGTAAGCCATTCAGGAGAGAGTTTTACACCAACATCTATTTCACTTTGTGGATTGTGTTAGCCATGATCTTTAATAGTTACATCTTCCTATTTCAGAAGAGTGGTCTGTAGGATATTTTCGGAGTAAGACATTCATTCTATATGTTTAGCTAATGTTTGAGTATGAGTCGGAGAAGGATGGGGATCTAAGTACGGCAATCGATAAATCGTGGATGTATTGGGTCTATGGCATAATGATAATAAATTTGATGGCTACGATAATATTTGAGAAATACTTGGTGCCATTCACGACTAGGTTTTATAGAGGGAAGAAGAGGAAGTTGTTGAAGAGGTACAAATATTCTTAGAATCCATACCTGAATGATCAATTGGAACAGAAGTGAGATATTATATTAATTATAAAATATGAACATTGATGAATAGAAATGCATTCTGAGAATTGAACTAATTGCAGGACATCAGATGTTGTTAGACAAAGATCAATAGAGGTGTTTCATAGAGTTCAAGTTGGATGGAGAGGCCAAATAGAGCATTGAAAAGACAAAGCCGGATGATTATTTTGAATAGGTGTTTCACTTTCATCTGAATCAAAATAAGAATGCCAATCGAGAATTACAGATTCTATTATGCAACATCAATAGGGGTGGGTACATGTCAAAGCAGACTCTGGGTAAGGTCAATCTGCGAGAATTGAAGTTTCAACTCAATCAGCCTTTCGATTTACCCATTCAAAATCGAAGTAACTCATCAAATATACCAATTTAGTCAAGGATAAGGTAGTCACCATCCAAGTCGTGTTATCATTCATCAATAATCTCTTCGTGGATAATGTAACTGGGGAGATCGTTGTCAACTTGTAATCCATGATTCCATAGAACAAAGGAATATTGGCAATGTCTTTGGGGGGAAGTCAAACAACCTACACTTTCTAGGCAGGTACCGAATTGAGGATAATGAACGACTCGCCCTATTGTAAATTGACATTCATCTATTATTACAATGTAATTCCTAAGGATTACTTTGGTATCAATCAAATTAAGTTATTGAAACAGGCTTTTGTGAAGAAAGAAATATTTCTGTGCGATCTCAATTGGAAACAGAAGAACAACGAACTGGAAGTGTACTTGGACAAGGTTCAATTGAACACAGGCATGCTGAGACTGAGATTAACATTGTCAAGGAAACAGGAAATTCTAAAGGTCGTTGAAGAAAAGTAATTGGTGCCTCAGAAAAGAGTCATGGCCATCAAATCTATTAAAATAGATGGATTTCCAACCAAGGAGTTAGGTACTGCCAAATATTATCTCCAAATCCGTACGCCCAATTACTTTTATTTTACTCACATCAGTGTGATACCATAATGGGATTGTGACATTGCCTTGTACGAGTAGAATTATACGGCCATTCTTTACAATTATTGTGGAGACAAGAAGACTTCCTTTTTGGCCAAATTCGAGAATGGCAACGAAGGTGAACTGAGTTTGCCATTCTAATAATTCTTGAAGACTTTTTATGGTTCAAATCCAAATCAGTTCTAAAAAGTGACTTAGTTTCTCAATCTATAAATGCACAGCGATATTCAGTATCATACTTCTCTTTTGATTGACAATCCGAGAGGCATAGTCAATCTCCCTATTACTGAGTTCAGTATCAATGAATATAAAGGGAATTACATGATGTTTCAAACTTCATCGATTTATGATTACGTTTAGATTCGAAAGTACAAGGCAAATAAGGCTGAAATTGCATTTGATATACCCTTGTATGAGATTGAGGATAAAATATTATTCGGCGGACAATAAATACCAATCAAGTATGAGTGTGATTCGCAATCAAAGGAGGAGGTTGTTGAGGAGAAATTGGAAAAAAGTAACTTTGTGAAAATCACAATCCATTCAGTCAAAATTACCAAGAATGAAAATCTATAGTTGGCAATCACAACTGATGAATTGACTTTTTAGACATCGAAAATTTGTGGAATCTACTTTGGATAATCATTCATCTGCAAATTCCCAAATAAATTGTCATTTCAATTGATCAATCGAACAGAAAATGATATTATTTAAGATACATATACTTCATTCATTGATTTGTAATAATTAGATTTCTTAGGAACTGAGTCGTTTATTAATGTGTAGATGAATTCCATTGGAAAGCAATGTCTGCTTACGATTAGATTGGAATTGAGTGGACATATATCATAATCAAATCGCATATCCATCACTCCTTAAGCACTCTATCCTGTGAGTACTGAAGGTGCCTATTACATGAGAGTGTTATTTTCTTATAGATTCTTTTATGATTACCAATAGGTTAAGAGTGAGAAGGATTACTTGGTGTTTGATACATTTGATTGGACAACTGAAGATCTGTGGAAATCCATTCGATTTCAATTATTTTATCAGAGTGGCAACAAAAAGGAGAACCACACTCTGTTGGCAGACTATCAACTACAGGCTATCGATTTATTATGGAAAAACAAGACGTTAGGATACGTGATAAGAGAGAAATGCAGATTCGTGATTAAGAAAGAATAAAAATACGGAGTGGACACGCCTCAAAAAATGATCAAGGAATTAGATCAGCCGAAACTCTTTGTCAAGTTTACTCCATTATCTATTTAATTTCAATAGAATTCTCAGGACTACGAGTAGGTGGAAGGGTATGCTTTGTAATTGCATCACATTTAGAATGATACCATAGCTCGATTGGAGGACAATCTTAATTTTGAATACAATGGGAATATTATGGAATTTGATAGGACTGAGAATAGTGTGTTGAAATTTCCAGCTTCCACATAATTGACGAAATTGTAAATGGACATCAGTGTGATCAAGTTAATTAAATAGGAGCTCAGAATAAATTAATTTGTTGTTCCAGTAGATTTGAAACAATTAGATGCAATTCAATATGTGGAAATTAGAAATGATGTCCCGATGATATTAAAGTTTCGAAGGTAGATCATTCAGCATATGAGATTGTCTCATACATCGATTTACGATGTTTCAATCACTAATATTGGTATAACAAATTAGGATAATAAGATTAATCTGAAGTTTTACGTAGGCACAACGACATTAATTAATTATCCTTGGATTAAGGATGGAGTGCTTGAACAAACTTATAAGGAGAGTGTGCAACCCATTTTATTTTAATTGGATGAAATTGATACCTGTTTAGAATTTGTCCTGTTCACTGATGCATTGGTTTTTAGAAGACATGTAATTAATATTAGCACCATCCAATTCATTTATAATGAAGAACAACAATTAGGGACCTTCGATTTGAATCTAGATGAATTTAAGTGTTAGATTATTATCAAAGAGTCTAGTGAACAATTCAAGGCAGACTCAATCAATGTGTCATTTAACACCTTAACTAAGTTGAAACATATGGCAGGGAAATTTATCAAATACAGATTTAATTATAATTTCGAATGTAAAGAATTCTCTAGTTAATTGAAATACACATTTTTTACGTCCATATCATCCTACGTAGCATAGATGATATAAAGGAGCGAAGGGTAGACTGATGGGGAATACGAATACACAATTATCATCCCAGAAAGAAAGAAGTTTCCAAGGAATCACTCAGTGGCTAAAATATTTTTAGGTTCTAAGGAATTGTATCTAGTTAGACATCAAGAAACAAGGGCAGAGGATATGGAGACAATTCTGGAAACAAAAATCAAGATTAGAAATATCCATGTTCTGAGCACTCAACCAACTCAAAGTTTCACTTGTCTCACTAAGGAAGGCAAGATTATCGAATTGGATACACAATACTTAGTGTATAAGTAGATAAAGAGTTAGTTTACTATTGGCAAATTCGAAATTATGATTTATAGATTATTGAAAGATATTGAGAAGGACTATCAGAATAAATACATTGGACCTGATTTGAGATTGAGATTGAAATACAATAAGTAAAAGTACTGGATTACAAGCATTAATGATTAAGGACTCATGACTGATGGAGAGTTCTAGAAATGCGAATTTTATGTTACCAATGTTACAGATCTCTTAAAGATTTAATTATATATTCATGACTATTTGGTTGCTGAGAATGAGTATTGTGTTCCTCTATTGAAGGAGCAATTCATTTAAGAACTGTAGAGAATACTTTATAAATCTAATGATTTGATCTATCATTTTCATCAAAAGTTAAAGCTTAAGAACATTTGGGTCATGGGTAGATGCAAATTCTAGAAGTAGAATTGGGTAAAGTTGTTCATGAAGTTTCAAAAATTAATCATAAAAATGGATGATGATGAAGAGAAACAACTAAGGAGTTATTCCTTAAAAGTATCAAATAAACAATTAGATTGGATATCGAAGGTATACTCAACGTCAAGGAACAGCACAGAGATTGAATTTTATGATGAAGAAATTGTTGATTAAGTGATCTTGCCTGGAGAAGAGGATCAGTCCTACTTCAAATTGCAAGTAAGAATGAATGGGGATATACTTGCTGAGAAATTACTAGTCTTAAAACCATTTATCGTGAGGAATGTCTCTAATTTCCCTTTCGAATTTAAACTAAATGAGAAAGTATCGGTTTCTACTACAATTGAAGTTTCACAAAAATTCAAGAGTGATACTTTAAAAAAAGTAGCACCTGAGGAATACAAGTTTGACTTCAGGAAATCCAGTTATGAAGAAATGGTAATCACAATGCTGAACTTTTAAGGGAAATTTGATAAGATTCTCAAAGAAATATTTGAGTTCCTTATGTATAATCTACCAAACAAATACGAACCTGACCAACTATTTAAAGTCTGCAAAGCCATTTTCTGCATCCATAATAAAAATCTTATGTTGTCTTGTTATTCAACTCAGTGCATGTCCACCATCTACTTGTCTCATAGTGACCGACTCATGGGTCAAATCAGCCATTTGCTATTATTGCAGCAACTACAGGATCTCGTTATTGCGAAGAACAAAGCCTTTAAACCGCTTATAAATGTTCCATACTACGATGAGTATCTGCCTACTTCTGTTAATACTATTAAAAATTTAGAATTGACTGAAGGGGAATTGCTTGCATATCTCAAGGCCAACTTCCACAAAGTAAAGGAGGATCTCTTCCAAGAATCGAGAGACAAGCACTCAGCTAAGATCACATTGAGTTGCATGAAAATCTTGGAAACCTTGCTTTAGAAGGATCAGTAGCCTGGAGTAGAGATGCTGACCAATTTACCAATTCTAACTGAAGCCTATAAATAGTTTGATGATTACGAAAATAAAATCGGAAATATATTCACCATTCTCACCAACTCCTTAATCAAAATCTATACAAGTTAGGATAATGAAGCAGAAACTGCCAAATTAATTAACTCCAACTTCTACCTTCTCCTTCAAGTATTCTTCGAAACTATTGAAAAAGCTAGTTAATAATAATTCATTGCTATACTATTGACTATGCATAGTATAATAAAGATTATAAACTAAGACCAATTGCAATTCCTAAAACTAGTCTTAAAGTATCTGATCAGAAGTCTTGTTGTATAATAAGACCTTGAGTTGCATATCGGAGTAGCAGTCGAATACTTCTAACCTAACTATTAATAAATTATTAAATAGGTTTTGTCAGATATTTCCTTAGAAAACATTGCTTTAAAGATTATTCAATAAGAATTCCAAAATAGAAAACAGAGCAACGTTTTATCTAACTTATTTGACATGATAATCTAATCCATCGAACTTGGTGTTGAATATGTAAATATAATGTTTATGTTGTAGCCTTACACTGAATTATAAGAATACGTAAAGAAAGTGTAGCCAAAGCATGAATCAAATAAAGTAAAAGTAGAAAAGTTTATGTAATTTATGAGCAAAAGATCAGAAAGAGAAGAAAAATTAAAACAATTAAAAGAAAAGAAGGTCCCAACATAAACTATTGATGAATAAAAGAAGAGAGTAATGGATAGATTCATGATCTCCAAACTGCCTTGGTGAAAGTCATTATTAATTTTATATTAATCTATATCATTATTTTAATAATAGTAATATCAACCATTTAGATATAAATCTTTAGGAAATAAAATCCTAAGTTTTTCTTTATGAATTGTTATCATATCACATTTGGTCTCTGTTCTTGTGGGGAACTAATATAATCATGGTGAAGGACTCTAAAATTTGTAAAAGGATGAAATTTTAAATCATCCATAATCGAAAGTCTTGATAATTAGATGATATTTAATTGGATAATAATGTATTGATGGTTGAAGACACATTTCAGAAGGGAACTACAATAGATCTACACTATAGTGAATATATTTATAGATTAGTGATTTTTTCTGATGTTATATTTATAAAATGATCAAAGAAAATCAGGTGCAATTGAACCATTTTTTACTCTTAAATGAACGAATGCTCCATTCTTAGGTCTATTTAGACCTTCAGCCCATGATCTAACTAATCCAGCAACCTAATCAGGATTAGCCCATTTCGTAAAATCTTCTTTTGGCATTGCTTATCTGTTGGCAGGAGTATCAATAGTTTCTCTAATAATTATGATAAAATGATACGGCAATAGAGTAATCACAGCGGAATCTTCTGGTAAATGAGTGCTTACAGCAGTCTAGATTGCTAGAGTATGAACTGCTGTCTTTGCCAAAGCATATCCTATCATGCTTGGTGTTGGTGCATTGAATACAGAATAAGCGCCTGTAAAGATCAGTAATCCCTATCTAGATAGTTATGTTGTAGCTAAATGACTGCAGACTAGAGCTGGTACCACACTCTTCTGATTCATATCCTCATAAACTTATAGAACATTTTCTTCTTTTATTGAGCCTCCTGTCCATCCACCAGCCACGCAAACTATGCAATTAAATTTCTCTAACAATCTATATACGGATAGATACCAAGGGTATTTAATTCGGATTTCAGAAGATTGATATCACTTGCATTCTTAATAATAATATTGTCACATTCCTCATTCTTGTTGAAATCAACACTTGTCACTTTCCACCCTTTAAATACCTTTACCATTGATCGACCTAATGCTCCTGAACCACCAAAGATTAAAGCTTTCATTTTATTAATCAAATAAAAAATAATAATGGTTATTATCAATTCGATATATCCAATTGTTAATTCGCTAAATAACCTCACTTGCATTTTAATACAATACTAAGATATCTCCATTACTATTTCCTTAGAAGTAGCTATGGGATTTATAGAATGATTGTTAATCGATATCCAAGAATAGAATTCACATGATAATGACTTGGTACTTATCATGTTGGGTTTGCTGCGCTATTATTAATAGAACTATCCTAATCAACCTACAATTGCTTTTTTATATTTATTTCTCTATTTTGATAGTTATAAGTAGAGTTTGCATTTCTTTGTTTATCAATATATCTTATAGTTGAATTCAACTTCAAATTCCTTATCTAATTAATTGATTCTACTTAGATCTATTCGATAATCCATTCATACAAGTACGCAAATTTATTATTTCATTTATAATTCTTATTTAGTTTATGTAATTATTCAGAACTGATTATTAGAACCTAATTCTTCCTCTTAAATTTAACTTCTTATCCCGTTTCCTATAGATGTATATACCTTATCATCTAAGAGGGATTATTTATTTAAATTTTCAATGATACTTGATTCTATAAATGATTAGCATTGACTGATATAAGTTCATATTTAAAAGATTTGGTCGATGGTTAATTAATTTAGTGATAATCGTTCTACTTCAATAGTCAATCTAAAAACAAATAATTTCAATTTATAATATTAAAATAAATGGGATGCCTAACTTCAAATGGAAATAAAAAAGTAAATAATTCCACTATACACAGTTAGAAGATATGAAACAAGGGTTCATGATTAGAATTCAGCATCCAGACCACAAGACAGAAAAACAATTTAAATACTTTGATGAAAAATAGAAAAGCGATTTGATAATGAATGTCATGAATGGAATTTGTTTCAGTGAAAAAGTCTCTGATAAATGCGATGGAAATTTTATCTCTCTTTATGATCCAGCCGACGATCGATTTCATTACTACATCCAAAAATTAGACGGTATAATGTTGGAAGCATAAAGTACTAGGGATAGAAATAGACAACCCAAATGAACCTCTTAAGGGCAAAATTTGGGTTCCTTACATTAATGAAAAACGACATGATTGGGACACTCTTGTTGAGAACAATACTAGAATATCAATAACTGACCATTTATTATGGAAATTAGAATATATTAAAAAATGAATAAATTTGTATTAATTGTATTCTTTACATCAAAGAATCATTGAAATTCATTGCTACAATAATAAACGTCTTTAAAATTGTATCATTTATTTCCTCCAATTTTTCACTTTTTTAACATTATTTTTTTAAGGACAAATGAAGCCTAAATTAATGGATGAATGAACTCACTAATTTTTAATCATATTTACAGCATCTAAATATAAAAGAGATTCAACATTTTTACAATTACCTTTACCATTACAATCATAAAGGATATTTGAATATTATTAAATTAATCAATTCTACTCCCCATGATAATGAAGTCTCTATTGAATTCTATTGTATTGAGATTTAGTTTAATTTCATTTTTCAAGTCATTATCATTTTATTCTCAATGCTAAGATTTATATATTAAATCTATCAATGTTAAACTTAGCACAATACTAAAGGATTGTAATTTTTCTGATGGTACTTACATTACATCTCTAAGACCATGCTTTATAACCAAATAAGTAGTATTATTAATTACACCTCAACAAATCTATTTTATATCTGATTGATCAAATAAATTTAAACCCTCATTTGCAAGCATATTTCAGTGAAGTATATTCTTCAACAATGTCCTTTGACTAGATTTAGCCATTTAACTTTTGAAAGATCTTCTATTTATTTTAGTGTTTCTAAAAAATACAGAATTGTGAAAAATCAAAATCCTAAATTTCCATTATTTTCTTGTCACAAAATTATTATTCATAAAAATAGCGATATTCACATACCACATTAATAGTCTTAATTTCTAATTACAATAAACAATAACAATTGATCTTATTACCCAACAATATTAATACCATTTTTCTGCATTCCGTCTTCAATTATAAACAGATTATAAATTCTAATTACTGCAAAATTAGTCTGCTTCTCAACAAATAAAGTATTTCCAATATTTCTTGAGCTCATCAAAATTAAAGAATGATTTATTTCCTAATTGTGCTTCAACTCACTACCAAACATAATACTTATCCTAATTTATCTTAAATTAACGTATGCTAGTATTCTAAAACCACTTTAATGTATTGATTAAGCTATGGTTGTTTAAAGTTATATTATAATAATTTTACTCCAAATGCATTACAATTCTTCTTGATTAATTACTGCAAAATCATAATATCCACTTGTAATTTATGACAGATTTAAAACTTATAACAAATTATTTCCTTAGCTGATGACCCAATTCTTAACCTGCCATCCTTAAGAAATCTCCAGATAAAGATCATTGCTTTATGTCTTTCAGCAGATATTATTTAATTGCCTTCAATAAATCTAGTAAGATGTAATGTAATAAGCCAAGATTTATTTAATATCCCCTTTATAGTCCATGTAAATCCAGATATTGATAACCCATAAAGAAATACATCAGATTTGTATCCTTTTATTGGATAATTTACTAGCCATTTGCAATGACATAAATGTCTTCATCTTTATCTTCATTTTAAATGATATTTTCTTGAGAAAAAGGATTTTATCAAATGGAAAATTAGCAATACAGAAGCAGCAGCATATATCCTTTTAGTTTAAGGATACATCGGTAGCGATATTATAGTGTTTGCTTCTTTTTAATTCTTCCAACCTATTTCACCTTCTTTATAGAAAAGAGATTTGATATTAACTAAAATAATTTATAGCTTCATTAATTTAAGCAAGATGAAGCGCATTTAATTTCAAATTTTTTAGTAATTGGCAATTAACAATTTATAAAAATATGTTTTTGGAAAGCTAAAAATTCACATATTTGATTGAACCTTCAATTTTTAAACCTTTAAATTTATAGATAAGTTGATTAATATTAATTAATGTTTATTTGTTGTAAAACGAAGAATAAAAGGGCCAAGTACAATACCCATTTATTTATTTTATTTAGACAATCTACCCATAACGATTCAGAGGTGAGATCTTTCAGTAAAGAAAACCATTAAGATGAAAAGGCTTAAAATCCAGACCAGGATCGAAATTCAAAGCAGAACTCAAATGAAGCTAACCAAACTGAAGATAGTCATAAAGAAATTTTAAACGTTGTAAATCAAATTAAAGCCTATCGAGATTTAGGATAGGTCAAAGAAAGGTATTCTCTTACATATAGGCAGTGTCGATTTGGAGAAATTGTTTGTGAATGGTTTACTCGCAGAAGATCTGCCTATTGTTTATTTTATTGAATATCGTTGGGCCATTCAGTACACTGGATATCTGGGAGGAATGAAGAAAGCTCCGCCAAAGGAGATAAACAACAACAAAATATTGACAGATGATCACCGAACACAGGATACGATACATATTACAATAGACAACGATCCACAATTACTTCCTGGAATTCAACCAGAAAGGCATTATTCACTTATAAATGAGAGAGCTTGGAAGTTCGTTCATTTGCTATACGGGGGTGGACCCACCGTAACTATTGATTTAGATAATGCAAAATTAGAGTCTCCGTAAAACGAAATTCAAGACTCACGCTTAGTTAATGATAAAGAATGCTTAGAAGTCCAGCCAATCGATAAAATAAACAATGAGCCTAACGGAATGCTACCCCTTCAAATCGGAACCCAGCTGGAACTTATCAATGATGGAGCTACTCATGTAACCGCTACAACTATTCTACCAATAAGGCAGTCAAGAGACCCTCTTCTTGATTTCAAGCTTTCATGCAATAACATTGAAGATATCGATAAAAGTGCTTCAGGTAACCTTCTCGACTGGAACATAACTGGATAAACTAACAAAGTTAAAATTTTTTCAAAAGTTCCAATGGAATTACCGATTATAGGTTTTCATAATCCAAAGTATAATTGCTACATGAATGCTGCTCTTCAGTGTTTGTTAAGCATTCCCAAATTTATTCGTAAAATTCTTAAAATTCAAAAATAATCGAATAGGCAATTTACTACAGCCTGTCAAGACCTTATTAGACTAATTTAGGGAACTATACCTGGGTAGTCAATCAATTTGGATCTATTGGCATTTATTTGTTAATAGAAATTTAAACCTACTTAGTAGTAAGATTCACATGAATTTCTATTATTTATTTTATCACAAATTCAAGAGGAACTAATTGGAAAGAAAAACTCTGAAAAACAAGAATTTCTATCTGCAACAGAAGCATGGGAAACTTATACTAGAAGAAACCCAGATTTGATAACTGAGTTATTTACAGGACAAATTTCTAATAAAAATTACTGTCTCAAATGTAAAAAAACATGTGAAGTTTATGACCCTATCCTGGATCTTAATTTACCCATTTAAAATACTCCTGGGTTATAAGAAATCAAATTAATGGATTGCTTAAAGAATTATTTTAAAGAGGAATAAATATTTAATGATTGGTAATGCAATCTTTGCCAATATAAAAACAAATTTCTCTTAAGATAACTTCAAATTACACACAAACCCTAGTTTCTTATAATTCATCTGAAAAGGTTTGCTTAAGTTCCGAGAAATCAAAAGATTTAGAATGAGATATCGTATCCAGAAATCTTAAATATGAAGGAGTAATTCTATTTTATAATTCTAGATATTGCACTGAAAATGTTGTTAACCCTGAATATAAACTAAAGGGTCTCATCTCACATTAAGGATAAATAAATAGTGGTCATTATAAGGCCTACACTAGAAGATAAAACGTTTGGTATGAATTTGATGACGATGTTGTAACCATCGACAAAAAAAATAGGCATTTAACTGATAAAGGAGCATACATAATCTTTTACGAAGCACTCTGAATAAAGCTAATTTTCTGTCTTTATTTTTGAATTTAAATATGTTAATATATCAAAATTTAGTTAAATAATATAAAAATCAAGATTTAGTTCTCTTTTCATCCTTCAATACCTAAACTCTCCAGCTTTCAGAAAACTCATTAAATTTCAACATAAATTCTTAATGAAATCCTATCCCTTCCTGATCAGGAATTTTTAATTTATTCATATTTTATTATTAAAGTTACTGTTAAATTTTTTTTTATTGTTATTACTATTATAACTATTATAATTATTGCAATTTTTGCTATTATTAACTGCATTTCGATAAATCTATCTTCATTTTTATCGAACTCTTACTTTCTGTTGCATAAGCACTGTTTTAGTTCCTGTTTTCAAACCTTCTAATACTTTCAATAATGCTTTCATCATCCAGTCTTCCATTATATTAAAAACTAGATTCATCTGAATCATTAACAACTGAATTATCAGCATCATGGAAACTTCTTTCAATTCTGGTAATAAACGATCTAATAAATAAATTAAAAATTTACTTTCTTTCTCTATTTGATTGATTATTTTGTTCTGATAAAGAGTCTTCATTCAAAACCTCCTCATTATATATCTTTTCTATATCTATTCCTGACTTACGAATGGCTAATACTAACTTAATTAATTTTGATTCTTTTTCAGACATTTCTGAAATTTTTTACTGCATTAGGTTAATCATTTCTTTTAACTAAGGAATATCTGCAGAATCAAAATCCTTTTATTTGCTATCTTATTTGAAAGGAGAGGGTCTCTCTTTTTCTAATGTTTATTTTAATTGAGAAACAGTTTCTAAGAGAATATCTCTTTCTTACTCAAGAGACTTAAAGTTATTCTGCCAGATATCTCTTTCCCTTCTCATTTATTCAATCATTTCATTCAACTTCAAATCCTATTCATAAGCCATAAGAATGGCAGAATTTTAAAATAGTTCAAATAAATTGTTTGCAATTTACATAATGACATCTGACCATTGCTATTCTATTTCCCTCACTTATACTTACAACTAATTGAACACACTCTTAAATTATACTGGAGTTCTGGCAAATTGCTTAATAAACAGATCTTTAAATGGATCCCACAATCCCCTTTGCTTTAAATATTGCTATTTCTTCTGTTATTCCAATGTGGCCCCTTAAATTTGCTTATCTAGATTTAGAAATGAATCTATTAATTCTTTTTATTGGCCAGCTTATGATGACTAGACTTTTTTCTGCATCAAGGACTTTTCTCTTAACATGTTCAATTGAGTGATATCGAAGTCTGCTGATTTTTTATAAGCTGATTTATTTTGTCTACCTCCTGGACTGGAAGAATCACAAGTTAGGTTGGATTTAGAACTAAAAAGGATGATTATGAAATTAATACACAAATAGGTTGGTGTTATAAACCTAGGAGTCCCCTATTATTTTCTTTAATTTAAGTGCATTCTAGGAATTATACAAAGAATCATCTTCTAATTAATTGCTTGTGAAACCAGATATACGACTTTTCGAACTGCTATTTGTACGATTATTTAATTCAGATAGATTGGTTTTATTGACTTTGCATCTCTTTTCCTCAATAGATTTAGATGTAGTTGGTTGTGGTTTAAAGCGTTGATGACAGTATTTTTAAGGAATGTGAAATAATTAACTAGATTCTGGTATGCTAACAGTCTTTATAATATTTTAAATCTCATACAGGCTATGATTATTATTTTTTATAATCTTGAGTTGAAGTTTTTGAAGCAGTTTCTTTGACACTATTAGGAGTTGTTCTCATGTATTCAAAGTTCGATAAATTTAATTAAATTAACAAATGTTTTATTCTGTTTTATTTTTCATAGCTCTCACAACCCTTGTCTTTATAACCTTTATACTTCTCAACAAGTCCCAATTACAATTCGAAGAGAAATTAACTTCCAAGACCATTATCATTTGCCTTTTTGCCCTTGTTGTGTTAATGAATTAAATTTAGTTGATGAGTCAATTCAAATAAACCAACAAACTTGCCAACATTTTTAGTGAATTAGATTTGATTGAAATACCATCCAATACCAATATTTAAGAGCTGAGTGTTCCATTCAATAAAACCAAAGGAATTTATTTTACAAATAATACTTTGCCATTGAGTTTATAGTAATAATTGGAGAATAATCAAAAACCTTATTTGCACATTAATTTTGATCACTATTCAGCATTGAACATTGACTCGGTTTACTTAAATAAGAAAATGAGTTAATTATAAAATGAATTGCTCAAATAATAATCACAGCAGGCTATCTTACTTATAAAAATTGAATCGTTTAATTAAGACTTCTTTGAGTATTTGGAGTCAATCTTTGAATTAAGTGAATGCACTTTGATTTTATACGGATCTTAGGTTCAATAGATCAGACATATTTGTAATTATATTGACTCTTATTAGAAGTGCCATCCTTTTTTAGGTTTTCTTAATAATTAGTAATATGAGCATTCTATTTAGTTTATTAGTAAAAATATATATTAAACAACATATAAAAATATAAATTATCATTAATTTTACTGAGTATTTCCTAATTTTTCACATAACAATTTTATTTTTACGATTTCCCATCGCAAATTGAAGATTTTGATTAAACTTCGGAGTAGTGGTTGGAGAGTCTTGATTTTTAGAGATGAATTTCTTGTCACTCTTTAAAATAAATTCCTCATCTTTTGTGATGTCGATGGATCTATAAAGCTAAATTTATTGTTTAGGATCAGTCGAAAATGGCGACTCAAAACATAATTTTCGATTTGAATGTGAAACTGAGATCGATTGCCGATGTAATGGAAATTTATTATGTTATTGATTTCGATTCTATTTTTAACCCACACAGCCCATTCCTGTATATGAAAATAAAATAATATTAATAATGCTGCTTAGGAATGAAATTTTCAGCATTCTTCAGTATTTTTATAATACCTCATAAATTATTAATACAAATCATGATATTACTCTTTTAATTTAAACATCGTACTATTCATTGAATTGAAGATTAATAATAACTAATTGAGTTCAAAACTATAGTGAAGCAGTTTGAAATGTTACTAATTATATAATTTTTAATATCTCTCCTTCTATTTCTTCTCAAAAATCAAATAAAAAATATCATTAAAAATGTCCCTCATTATTAAAGCTATTTATTTAATAATTATAAATATAATTAACAGGCCATATTGAAATAACAGTTAGTCAAATTTCGAAAATGGTAAAATACTCATTGAATAAATTAAATTTCAGAAAACCAAGCATTAAGACATAAAAGTCGAAAATAAGTATAATTATATATTCATATGTTTGATTAATTGAGTATAAACGAAGTATTATTTATTTGATTTAATATTTTCTTTTATGGGTTGTGCTCCTTCAAATCTTTCTATCAATGAGCCTCAATTGAAACCTCAAAGAAAAATTGCAAGGAATCAGCACTAGTTAACAGACATCTAGTAAAATATAGAGAAACATCTCAAACAATAATTGGGACTTCATAAAAGAACGACTGCATCATCACCTAATACTATAATAACATCTACACGTATATTTTGATCTTAGAATTTAGGAAGCTCAAGAATCGCAGACCAAATAGTTGATTTGTCAAAGTCTACCACTCTTTTTCAAATAGATTAGGTTTCTTAACCACTCTAAAGAAGATCTTTGTAATGATTATATATATATATTATGTCACTTTAATTAAGATCAATAAAATTTGAGTATATCATTCTAATTTTATAAGAAATTTGAAATGTGATCTAATACAAAGAATAATAATCATTAAATCACAATTTAGGGCTGTTCATCAATGATAGCTTTCTCCTTTATTCTGGAGAGTTCTTAATATACTTAAATGGACTTTAAGTATTGCTCTACCTTTTAGTAAGATACTTTTGAAGTTCATCACTGCTTGCCATATGTTTTAACTTCCTTCCTATCTAAGGAGAGTGGGGACATTGCATTTCACTATTAAGTCTATCAACCTTTTGCTCAGTTTCTAATATTTTGCTTTATTGATTCTAGCATTTAATATTTGGATTGGTTTCTATCACTTAGTCCCTTGTTTTAGTCTTTATTTTTTATGCGTTGCAGCCCATTAAGTTTATAGTATGTAAATAATTAGCTATAATAATAATTTATTTTATTTATCAAAAGAAAGTTCATTGTCTGACTGAGGTTTTGAACAAGGCTACTATCTTTAACGATCTCAAATCCTAATTTATAAATTAAGTGAGTCATTCTCTAATTATTATATCAGAGGATGATCAATTTACCTTTAATTAGCAAAGTATGGATTTGGAATTTATTTAATTAATTTTCTTAATTGTCTTTCAGAATTATCCTCTGTTAAAATTTATATTTTTCACATCATTTTTTCACTTAATTTACACAGTAAAGCATACTCATAATTATTGTAAATTTTAACTTCATGAAATTTAGATAAAACCGATATCTATCTATTGCAATTAATGCAAATGAGAGCAGGTGGAATTTGTTTTGAAATTTTGAAATCATAATAATAATTGTTAAAAGATAGTAAATATAGTTTCTAATCACATTTTCATCTTAATCGCCCAGACAGTTGAATTAATTAATTACGAGATTATTCTGCTAATTATTTTTATTAAAAGTGCCTAATGATTACTTTTCTGTTATATAATCATTTATCTAATATAAATGAATGCTCAATAATGATTTAAATACATCAAATAGTATTCAGCATTCTTTATTATTTGTGATACATAAATTCAATTTATTTTATATATATATTATTGGCAAAAATATTGAATTAACCACAATTTCAATCGTTACAATTATTATTAACCATTAAATTTAAACAAGAGTTATAACTGCAAAACCCTTTAATATATGCAATTTAGTTAATCTTATCTGAAATTTTATTATAGTTTATGAGTATCTTACTTTCTAGACTAAATTTATTTATAATTATTTTATTTAATTATATTCATTCTAATATAAAAGTGTTTTAATCAATTATAACTTTTTCATTCTTTCTTATATATCGTACTCATATTAATTAGAATTTTTGGATTTTATTTCAAATTTAGTGTTGGGAAATCTTTGGCATTCGGAATTTTTAACTTAAGAATTTTCAATTTTGGGTATCGTTATCAACTAATTTAATCATTTTAGATTCTGAGTGAGTTTATACACAGAATTCATAAAATCTAGGATAACTATATTTAGAATATATAGTTGCGTTAATTTAATATTGTAGTAAATACGAATTAAATAAAATTAAGGATTTATTGTGGCTTTTAAGAAGAAAAATATTAAGAAATATTAATATAAATAAAATTGTTAATGGGTTAGACATGTTCCTGCAAATCAATGCTCTCAATATCTAATTAAGAAATAACTAGAAGGAACGAGTTATCACCTCGAAATGATAGCTAGGTTACTTCACAAGAAAATTGTTTATAAATAGAAAAGGCTTCTAGTGCTTATACAAATGACTAACCCTTAAGATTTATCATCATTTATCCGGCCAGAAGGGAAAATTTTGATAGCCTAAGAAAAGAGCTTAAACACCTTAATAAAGACTCTTCGTTTATCATTTAAGAATGTGAAAATTTGAGTTAAGATTCAAATTTTTCTTAAGAATTCTCGAGCTATTTACCTTCTTCCCTAGAGGATTTCAAACTATGAATTATTTTTAGTATATTTAACTATAATTTATTTATTATTAAACAAAACCAGTCAATACGGATAAGAGTCTTTTTAAGCTTAAATGGCTCTTTACCTATACGCTGTTGCATAAAGATGCTTTCTCTAAAAACATATAAAAGGACTACTATTGACAGAATGAAGTTGGAAATTAGAAGTACTAGGGACAATAAGTAGTATCATCTATTTGATCTTATGAATATGACGGAATGAAAATTCTTTAATGCAAATATCGATTATAAATATATAAACATTGAATTTATATAATTATTTACATGTAAATTGATATTATTAGTATTTGATAATTGGAAATAATTAAGGATCATTGCAAATAAAATTTTGTGAATTACCAGATCCATATCATATGATTGTATAAAATGAAGAATTTTGACGAGAAACACCAATGATAAATGTTGTTGATTAATAAACCTCACATATTAAAAACTATTTAATTTATTTATTTTTTATTAATGCAAAATTGAGCATTTGTAAAAGCAACTAAAGTTTTAGTTTATCTTTAAGCTCGCTCTCAAATGTAGCGAAAATCAGAATAACAAAGATCCTTACGGCATATCTAAACGAAAACGTAATTAGAATTCTTGATGTTAAATAATGGATTCTATAGATAAAATGAAATAATAATTTGTTTTGGTTAGTATAATATGTTATGGACATTATTTAAATATCAACTAAAGATGTTGTCTAAAAATGTTTTTTTTTCCTTTTGGGGCTAAGGCTTTTAGGCTGGCTATGGTTTGGCTGGAGGGGACTGATTGATTACAATATGATTTACATATCTTCTTGGATGTGACACTGGAGCACCGTAGGACAAGGGAGGAGCATATGACACAGGAGCAATTCTTGAGGGGGCGAAATTAGGTTAGACGTAAGGAGCATATGAAATTTAAGGTTGTTAATAAACTGGTTAAACAACTGACTAAACTGGAGCAACATATTGAGGAACTTATTGAACCACAGATTAAACAACTGGTTATGCTACTACTTATTGAACTGGTTGATGAACAACCTATCTTTCAACAGGATAGTATTCTACTCTGTCTTAAAATCTGTCGACAGGAACGTACTCTAACGATTGTGATTAATTAATTACCTGTAACTTTATCGTAGAATACTTATGGGATGTAGTCAGTCTAATATTCAACAGCTTAGTATTCTGTTATATACTTCTCTCTTGGGACTTAGATTTTTTATCTGACTTCTTCGTATTCAATAACTGATTTCTCATAGGGAATATACCTAAAAATTATTGAATTTAGATTGATACTCAATTCTGCTTTCACCCTTAATGACCTATTGGGCTGGTTATACAGCAACTGGTTGAACAGCTACTGGCTAAACAGCAACTGGTTGAGGAACATATTAAACAGGGGCACCTACAAATGATTGTTAGATTGGTAGATATGAAGGACTTGCAAATGCCACTGGTGGGGCATATGTTCTTGGAGGAGAATAGGGAATAGGTTGTTATGGTGCTGGTGCTGTTTTTTGGGGAGGTTTTGTTGATGCAGGGTGATTGCTCATTTTTGAATGTTAAAAATTTTAATAATTTAAAGTGATCGTTAGTCATTTTAATTATTGATAAATCATACTAAAGTAATTATTGTTAGACTTGTTAAACCTAATTAATTCTATATGTGCAAATCAGAAGAAGGGATTTTATGTAGACGCTGTGTTTGTTTGAAATAGGTTTAAGAAATTTAACTTATTAATGTTCGATGAAAATAATTTATGTAAAATTGGATATATGGAATTATGTATGGAGAAAATCAAGAAAATTTATTATTATATTAATAAATGTATATTTTATTGTTTTTTGTACCCCTATTAATTTTGGGATAAAAAGTGCGGATTTTTATGAAAGATGCAAATGATGAATATTTAGTTTATGATAAAAACAAGATTTCATTTGAATTCCTCCCTGAGAATTTAAATCAAGGAGTCACTTGCAAGCCACCAAGATCTTTTGGGATATTGAGTACTAACAATGGAATTGGGATTTCAAATTAAACATTAAGAATAGAAAATGACGATATAATATCATTCAACGTCTTTGTTCTGCAAATGGACGAAAAAAATACGAACATGTATTTTTATATAATTATAAAGAGAAACCTGTAAACTGAAGTAATTTCAGATGACGATAAGCTAAAACCCAAAAGCGAAATCCTTTTTAGGCTCTCATAGCAATGCCCTCAAAGAGATCATCTCACATCTTAGAATTATTGGACACCAATACATATTCAAGTTAGTTTGAATGAAGTGAACCAATAAACTCATGAATTAATAGAGTTTGCAATAATATTCTCATGTGACAAATCATACAGAGACATCACATTCGATTGGAGTCTCCCCATATTACTCGTTATATCAACTATTTTGATTGCATTTTTGGCTAAATATACTAGAATCCTTTCATTTAGTTGGAAGACAAATGGAAAAGACTTTTAGGGATTCGAAATCAATAATACGATCATTCTGATCTACATACTATTATATGCAGGTGGAGCCACGATCGTCCTAGCAACAGACTTTTTAGATTTCATCAGATATTTATTCATTATAATAGCCTGCACTATAGGCACACTTGCAATATTCTTTGTGTCTTCTGAGGTATTAAAATATGTAACTCTAGCTTGCATGTCTAATGAAAGCGAATTCCTTTTTAAGAAAATATTACATTGTGTTTTCATCAATAATTTCTTTATTAATTGGTATTCCTTATTACTTTTATAAGCCGTGGTACTTGAGTGATATAATTTCTCTAGCTTTTATAGTACTAATTGTAAAGTTCTTCAGACTCAAGAACTTCAAGTTTGCCTCATTCTTAATGATATCCAATGTTTTATTGGATTCAACACTCGCCTTAATCATCCACTATACTTAAGTTGAGTCTTACAACACAACTGTACTACAATTTTTGAATTGCCCTTTAGAATTGCAACTGCCCTTAATAAGTTTGCAATTTAATAAAAATTGTGCTTGGATCTCACTCTTTAGTCAAGCTGTACCAGGACTCCTTTTGAGCTTAGCCTATAGGATAGATAAAACTAAGAGGACTTTCACTTATGGTCTGCAGGGCTTCTTGTCTTTGATAATCGCAGAAGGGCTTTGGGTATTGGCCACAGTGTCTGTGAAACATTCGATACCTGAAACTATATTTACTTATCCTATATTATTAGGAACTTTAACTCTAAATTCTCTTAGGAGAGCAGAATTCAACTCATTTTGGTTCGGTGACTATTTAACAGATCAGAGCTTTTAACGATTGAGAGGAGATAGTCTAATAGATGCGAAAGCTCCCGATCTACTGTTTAATGTGGATATTATTCCTGATAGCAAAGTTTAACCAACTGATCTATGATATTTGGAATTATTTAAATGTTTAATATATAATATTTATTGTAATTAATTTTATGGAATTAAACAAGTCAAATATAATGGTTGCAACCGATGGGTCATAAGCCTCGAAATAAGCATTCTTTGTACATTATTTTATTAAAATCATAAGTAAGCTGTGGAGTTCTTTGAATATAAGAACATTTTCAATCAAATCATTGTAGCACATGTTTCAGATCAATAAAAATCATACTTGCCATTTGAATTCTAAAGCACAACAATTTATGAAGATTACAAAATTGAATTGTTATCGAGGGTAATTTATTCTCCTATTTCTTTATTAGTATCCAGAAGCAAACTACTAATTAGTGTTTTAGGAGAAAGCATAAGGACAGGAGAACATTAGAAATTAAATCTTGACAATAGCAGGAGATTTGAATGTCGGTTATCTGATAGTCGGATTTAATGGGAGAAAGGGAATCAAATAGGATGTCACAATTTTAGGATAGACAGTGAGAAATTCAGTGTACAATAGTAAAGTGCCCTTGATTGCTGTTAAGAAACTCTATAAAAGGGATGAAACTAATGGCTTTAAATTCGTAGTTTGCATAGATGGATCAAAGAAATCTTATAAATCATTGGAAAGTGCAGTGGCCTTGTCCTTCGATGAGCGTGATAGTTTGTTGATATGTTTTGCTCCCACTCCTGATAGAGAGGCATTTGGAACAACTATTAAAACAAAGGTGGAAGAGTTTATGGCTAAATTTCAAAGAAAATGGGAATATAAATAATTGGATTCATCCTATAGAGCCATAGAGAATGTGATTGATATGATAAACAATTCCGATGATCTCGACTTCGTTGTATTTGGATCTAATGGGTATAGAGCTCAATTAGAAAACAAGACATTTTTTGGTTCAACAGCTGATGAATTGTTAAAAAAGGCAAAGGCAAACATAATTATGGTACCTTGAATGTTAAACATTATATATTAAGTTATATATATATATTATAAATTATTAATAAGTTCTAAATGAAGGAAACGACTCAGCTGAAACCGGTGACTTAGAAGAAAAGCAAGAGCAATTTTTTATTGGAAATGAATGAGAAGGATAAAGAAATCAATAATCAGATTATTAAGAACATGAATAAGAGAGTAAATTATCTAAAGAATCCTCGATTCAAAATTAACAAAGCGCCGGTACTCTTTTCATACATCAATACAAAGCAAGTAAGTTGGGTTTGAATTAAATTAGGACATTGTAGTAGAGAAAGATCAAATAACATCTTTTAGGGTTTTCCCAAAATAATTGATATTTAGAGAGTACATGTTGAATGGCATGTACGAAATCGATTTGTATGTTACCAATGCAACTGGAATTTTGCAGAGAATCAAAGTGCTACCTCCTGAAAAGTGAGTGATTTAACTTTATTGTAGAAAGGAGTTTCAGATAGCAGCAATCAAGTATCCAACAAAAGAGGATGGATTCATAGCTCCAGGGATGAGTGCAGTATTAAAGGTCAGATTTAATCCATCCTCTTTGGCAGAGTTTGACGATACATTAGCCGTAATAACAGAAGATCATATTTTAAAAGTTCCATTATTAGCAAGGAAGGAACCTCCACAATTGGACTTACCGTCATAATTGGATTGTCAGAGTTGTTGGATAGGTGATTAAGTAGAAACAAGATTTGTAGTTAAAAATTCTGGAGGAGAAGCAGGCTATCGTTTTTTTATAAATAATCAATAAGATTAACAAGAAGAAGAGAATTACATCTAGGTTGGCAATTTTTACTTATCACCTGCTGAATTCTTCTTGCATAAAGGAGAAACTCAAATCATCTAAGCCATATTTAAACCAGATCTTGAAGGCGAAGTCATAGAAAATATCATTTTGGGATGTGACAATTTGACTTAGGCCACTTTAAAATTGATTGGCAAAGGCAACATGGTAGAATTAGGGATCTTGGGAATTGATAACATTAATCTAGAAAATTAAGAGCAACTATAAAAAATATTCTTTAATGATCCCATCCCAAAAGTAGAGACCAGTAGACAATTAAAGATTAGAAATAAAACATCGGTTAAAGTCAAATATCACTGGTATCTACAAAATGATGATAAGGAATTAAAATTAGAAGATGAATTGAACTATTATTCCATTCAACCTTAAGAAGGATATTTTTAGCCTAATGAAGTTATAGATTTTAAGATATTTTTAAAGAGTGAAGAATATTATCCTCTATTTTAAACTGCATATTTAATTATTGATGATATTCCATTTGAGAGTATTAGGAATCCTCCTCCTAATTTAAGATAACAATTTGAAACTAATTCATAATCCGTGGCTATTGGATCTAATAGCATTAAACCATCAATCACATACTTTGAATTTGAATTAATTAGCAAATCTGCCCTTGGAGAAGTGAGTGTCACACCTCAATTCTACAAATTTCCTGTTCCTATTTGTGTGAATACTTTGGCTTAGTATAAATTTAAATTGTCAACAACATCAAAAACTTAAATGAAATATTCAATTAACCCACTTCAATTGGATTATTTCTATATTCAAGAAAAATAAGGAGTCATCAATAGCGAGGCTGAGATCGTCTTAGGAGTTCAAAGTTCTGAGGTTGGTCATATGAAATTAGAGTACAGAGTAGACTTTGACTATGCTAATTCTATTCTAATTACAGTGTTTGCTGATGTCATAGCTCCTTTCATATCAGTAAAATAAAGTTGGCTGAACTATGGGTTGATTTAAACCTACTCTTTAGAATCTTAAGAATTAACTATCAATAATTTGTCACCAGTTCCTGCTCTGATTAAGGCTTAATCTGGTTCGGATTAAAGGTTATTATTTAATAAAGACTAATTCGAGATTAAACCAAATAGTTCAATTTAATTTAAGGTTGAGTTTCAATCTAGAGAGGCTGAAACCTATAATGATTTCCTATATTTTTAGGTTGAAAATGGTGATTGTGCTGTCTTAGATGTATTCGCAGAAGTTCAAAATCCAAGTGTCTCATTAAATAGATTATCTCTCAATATTGACACACTGTACTGTGGAAACACCTACACTTTTGATTAAAGAGCCTAATAATACATCATGCTCTAGAATTTGGGTAATATCAGTACACCTTTTGAATGGGTGGTTGATAATGAGAAGTAGGAGAAATATTTGGTTTAATTTGAACCCAAGAAAGGAGTTTTAAAGCCAAAAACCAATTAAATCATTAAATTCTCCATAAAACCTAAGGAAGGTGGGAAATTAAATGAACTCTTTGTTTGTGAAGTGCAAGGATTGCAATATCCATTAGGATTTGAAATGAATACTATGATTTATGGATTATCTGTGGAATACGAATTAGTCGATGATAGTGCACATATCTCTTCGAAAACATCTGTGAGTTCAAAATAAAAAAGTCTCAAGGATTCCAGGAAGTCACTTTTGAAGGCGGACACTGAAATTAAAAATTAATAAATGGATAAATTGGAATTTTACAATTGTACAATCAATTAACCCAAATAAGCCAAGTTCTTAATTAAGAATACATCAGGTATTCACACATAATTTAATTTGTATATGAAAAAATATCAACCACATGCTTTGGAAGAGTAATCAACTATCTTTGATGACTTCGATGCCAAATCATAAGCAGCAAGAACAATTAAATTTGCTGAATCTTCAATTTCTAAATCTGTATCAAAAAAAGGAAAGATATCCTAAGGAGGTAGACCTGTAGTGTTATTAACAAATAAGATTGAAAAAACACACAATTTCACTTCTGAAGCTGGTCTGAGATTGAATAAATAAAAGAAGATGGAACATGATTAAAGAGTGTATCTGTCTAATAATCTTGGTATTGCAGTGGTATTTGAGCCATCCTCAGGTACCTTAAATGCATATGGGTCTGTCGTTGTTTAAGTGACAGTATTCAATGATATTTGTGGATTATTTGATGATTTTATGTGTTGTGACATCCGAGGACTTCCAACAAAGGAGTTTCCCATAGCAATTGATATTAAGGGATCTCCGATTGTTATTAGTCCCAGCCAATTGGGATTCAATTACAAGACTGACTTTCCCACTTTCGATTTAGGTACTTATATGCGGAATTTCGGAACAATCAGTAGAGATTTTAGAGTAATGAATACTGGTCCGCAGGATGTTGAATTGGAATGGAAGATTTACAATCTTGGAACTAGTACTACTTCTGATTACTTTGATATTAAAATTACGGATCCTTAATTAGGATCAGATTAGTTATGCGATGTCTAATTTATAGCAAATGAACCTCAGGAATCAAAGGATGGTCCATTCTAAGTAGTACCAAATAAGGAGAGGATCAAACAAAGAAAGGAGAAGCATTTCACCTTACATTTCACTACTCAAGATACTGGAAATTATAGTGCTTGTTTGGTTGCTAGGCCAAGACTTATTAATTAGGATAAGACTATTGGCGAGGTGGCTTTCTATGTGAAAAGTGAGACCATCACACCTTACTTGACATTTGATAAGCTTGAAAAGTTGGAAGGAGGGTTTTAAGTGAAGTTTTAGAAATGGTCGAGTGGCTACAATATAAAACAGGAGAAGAAACTGGTTTTAGTTAATAGAAAGAAATCAAGTTTTGTATGCACTTTTGAAATTGAAGGGCCGTTTAAATTAATTAAAACTTCAACTAATTCTCCTTAAAAATATGAGTTAGGTATGAAAACTGAGATTGCAAAAACATTCAATTTGGTAACAGATTCGCATGTGGAATTGCTAGTTTAATTTGAGGGTTATTAACCTAATGATCCAGTAAATTGGCCTCTTACTTATAAGGTTTATCATCATGGGTCGATTAATATCTTCTATGCAAATGGAGATAAGCAATCAATTTAAATGGAGGGAGTTCTCTTGAGACCTTTTGTTCACTTAAATACCTCAGGGATTGATCAAGTGGAAGGACCTGAAGTTTTGGATTTTGGAGAAGTGCAAGAGGATAAAACTATGGCTATTTATTTGTCCAATTTATCTTTTGGTACCTGCTTAATGGAAATTGCAGCATTAAAAAAATCCATTAAGGAAAAATATAGTTGAAAGAACAATGACTTTGGAGGACAAGGAAGAAATGAAGAAAACTGATGATCCATCTGTGTTTGAATTTCAAATTACCTGAAGGTAATTTAGATGGGCCATCCACTATGGTGCATACTTTACCTCATGCTACTTGTTTACCATATCAAATAACAATTGACGACATAAGAGATTTGGGTGTGTAACCGTTTAAGATTCTCATTAGATTCAAAGTAATTGATGTCTTATATTTTCAAGCCTACTGCTGAATTGTTGTATAAGTCCAAATACAGAATTAAAGTTTAGGATGGCCCTAGTGTGGATTTCATTCTCAGAGGCACTGGCAAAGATTTGATCAAAAGAAAAGTATGAACAATTATATAATTTAATGGTTTAATTTATTAATAATTTTTTAATAATAATAATGGATTTGAATTCAAATGCAGATTTTCCCTCTAACATTTCAACAGAGTTGATTCAATTGAAAAGGGAGTAAGTGAGGAATTCCCAGAGGAAAGAAGACATCCAAAACAAATTGTTACAAAAAAGACAACAATACATCTATTAATATGAATAGTTGTATCTAAAATAATAGGAACTCAGAAAAGAGGTGTGTTTGTATTATATTTTTAGGAACTTGCCTTAGTATTCAACAAATCGGTTGAATAAGTCAATGATCACTTTTATTTGAACGAAGTGACAGCCGCTCTGGAAATCATGGTCAATTTGGAATCCAAACTTGAGAATCTCACAGATATCCCTGAACAATTCTGTGTTAGCTCATTTACAAATGTTCTGAACCAATTAGTGGCTCAATTGTCATCCAACAATCAATTAGAGTTCTACCTTTTAACTCTATCCTTTGACTCCATCAATATCTCCCTCTTTCCTTAAGAGTAATCAGTCATGAGTGACTATCACTCCAAGACTCTGGAGTTGCTGAAAAAGGAGAGACACAGACACGCTTAACATTTCCTTATCAAACTATATTAAAATAGTCCATTGTGGTTTGAGGCACTCCTCTTCTAAGAGTTCTTCTAACTCAATAAGAAATTATTTGAACTTCTACTCAAACACATTGATAACTAAACTGTTTGGGTCATCCTGTCCTAATTGAAATTCGTTCCTTATGACAACCTCATATTTTCAACCATACTCAAAAACATCTCAAAGAAAAATGCCTTTCAACTCTTGAGAAAGACGCTGTGTCAGGAGGAGTACCAATTAAAATACATCCAAGCTAATATCTTCTATCTGTTTACTCAGGTATTATAATAATCAGATGATAAACAATACTTCTTAAATGAAGTTATAGATTGCATCCTTAGTCTTTGCTGTGTAATTATTATCATCTATATATTCTAAGCTTAAATTTGAATTGTTCGAGAAAGTCATTACTTCCGGTTTGGCCCTTGTCATATCTGCTTAATCGATTAAGGATTTCACTAATGAAGTAACAAATGTTCTTTATTCTAGGGAGTCTAAAACTTACAAAGGATTGTCTACTGGATGTGCAGCAGTAAGAGCGAATTATTGAAGAGGAACATTAAAGAAGGAATATGGTTTTAGAATATTTTCTTAATCTTAATGCAATAGTAATTGAATCATGTAGTCTAAATTAATACTTTGGATATATTGAAATAATAGTTTAAATCTGATTTAGGTTGTCATTTCAAAGAGTTTTTCAGAACTACATATCAAGTGCCAGATAACATATAAACATTGATCGAAAGATACTTATGAATAATTAATATATTTCTACACATATCAAAAATTTAATATTTAATCCTTCATATGTTATTTCTCCATTGTGATCTTTTTTAAGGCTTCCTAGAAATCGGCATCATTAATGAACTCTTATTGTTTCTCAATGGCTATGTATGCGCTTTCATTTGTAATATTTTCCATATCTGCTCCCGAAAATCCATATGCATTCTTGGCTACTACATCGATCATTCCAGATGAAACTTAGTGTTTTTTCTATATAAAACCATCAGTAAATAGATTACATTTTGTAAATGAACCCCCATGATGCCTTTTCTCTCATTTTCTGATGGTAAATTTATCTCTATTTTGATATCGAATCGACCACTTCTCAGAAGAGCTTCATCTAGAATTTAAATTCGATTGGTTGCTGCAATGACCACAATATTCTCATTCTCTTTAAACCCATCCAATTCTGTTAGTAATTAATTTAGAAGTACTTACCCTTTCATTATCACCACCAGTTTCAGTTCCAAAATTTTAGTTCTTTCTTTTATATGCAATGCTATCAATTTCATCAATAAAGATGATTGCAGGAGACGATTGTCGTGCCTTTTTGAACAATTCTCTAACTCTCTTAGGACCAGTTCCTACATAGACCTCTATGAATTCTGTTGCTGAGCAGTATAAGAAATTGACATTGCTTTCAGTTGCAGTGGCCTTAGCTAGCATGGTTTTTCCTGTGCCTGGAGGTCCATATATCATGACTCCTCTTCTTAGTCTAGCACCGACATTTCTGTATTTCAAAGGATCTTACAAATATTCAATGATTTATTGAAGTTATTTCTTTGCGTGATCTAATCCATAAATATTCGAAAACTTAACTCCAGTTGATTATGCAAGCATAGATTTATTAGAAAGTCTATTAGAATTAATTAAATGAGATGCAAAAATACCAAATGTATATGATAAGGCTGCTATGCTCATTATTATATACATCATTTGTTTCTCGTTGTAATAGATTTAAGTGGAATTTTAAAATCTTGGAACACCATATTCCCTTGGATTTATAAGAGTGATTCTTACATCAATGCCTTCAATAATTCCTTTCCCTTTATCATGGGCTCAGCCTAGGTCGATAACCATTAGGCTTAATTGACACATCTGAATAAAATATGAGAGCCATCATAAATTACTTCTTCAACCAATTTCTTTTGCAACACTAACATGAAATTGCTTATCTTCACTAGTGGCAAATTAGGTTTAGCTCTGGCTTTATACAAACAAAAAACAGCGATCAACATAGCAGCAGAAGCTGAAACATTCAATTTATCATTAAATTTGCGCATTACTATTTGCATGAATTTTCTAAAATCAACCATATTTAATATATTAAAAAATAATAATAAAAATAAGTTCAAATTATTTGCTTCTAATCTATGGACTTCTGACAATCACTTACATATTAAGATTTGTATTTATAATTATTAAAATAAAATTATTAAATATGAATTTAATAAATTAAAAAATAGTTAAGGCAGGATTTTTGAGTCGATTGGCTTCATCTTATCAATTAGATTGATCATAGTTTGAGGATACCCTTAGACTATAGATCCATAGCGAATTTATTGGAAATTACACAAAGACATGGATCAAAAATAAGTATGCATAAATAGCTAAATTAGGTAATTCTTACAGATGCTATGATTACGACTAGGAGTCAAATAGCTATTGCAAAAAAGGCTTTGCAATCAAATGGAGTTATTTAGAAGAATATAACTGCAGTTAACATAGTTACATGTGAAAAAGTATATCAAAAGTACTTTGTCAATTTCCTAAGGTGAAAGCAATTAATTTGGAGTGGATCATGCATTAAATACTATACAAGATCTACTGTTCCCATGAGAAGGAGACTTTGGAGAGAGATATTTCGGAAAATTAGATCAATAGTGAATATTTATTTTTAAGATTCCTCTTAAAGAATATACAATATTTTATGGGTTGAATATTGTTGATATGTTAAAATACAATATTTAGATCAGAGTTTGTCCAAATATTCATTAAGGTCTGGCAATTAGACTTTGATACCCTTTCTCTTTCTGATGGATAAGACTAACTCATTAACCTAAATGATTAATATAAAATAATACTTTGCTTCCAGCTTCAAGTGGGTTACCATTGACAATGGCCCAGTGATCAAAGACACATTGAGGGAAGGCTTGTCCTTAGGTCATACCTCTTAAATGGGCGGTGAAACCGAATGATTCAGCGACTGGTAAATGAGCTCTAACCTATGAAATTAGAATAATTATATTACCACTGAGAGTGGGGTTCCTGCAACTTATTCCTCTTCAATGACTGTTCCTCTTCTGGTGTTGAGACAGTTATATACACCACCAGTAGCATCATTTGGTGCAGTGATTTCAGCCAAGAAGACTGGTTCTTATAATCTTGGTTGTGCTGTCAATTCGCATGCATAATACAATCTTCTGGCAGTTGGGATGATTTAACCACCTCCTCTGTGGATGGCATCAGCATGTAAGACACAATCCAAAATGTTGACTCTGATACCTCTTTGATTTCTTCGCAAAGTGGTCCTTCCTTGGTTGACCATTACCAAGCTGATTCCATTGATTCTCTCAATTCATTCATGTATTAAACACCTGGATGTCTTATCCATCAGGATGTTGGCACCTGAGTTATCTGGTCCAAAGGTCCAGATTCTGAGTGCATCATCCTTATCCCAATCATATTCTTCATTAAGAGCTTTGGCTCTGAGTTTTGGTTCATCTTTTGGTGTAACTTATCCTTTTTCAATAGCATCTGGTAAATTTTCATGTAATGGTGTGGCTTAAGCATAAATTCTGTTGTGCTTATTTGGTCGGATTTAGACATGCAAACAATGTTTGAGGTAGCAGATACGGTTTCCTTGTATGAGACGATTGGGTCAGATTTGATGAGTTCAATACCTGCAAAGTCTTTTTCTAAATCATTCAAACAGATTTCAACGTGTAATTCACCACATCCGGCAACAACGTTTTATCCTGATTCTTCAGTTGTGCATAACACTAATGGATCTGATTTTGACAATTTCTTTAATCCATCGACTAATTTTGGTAAATCTCCTGGGTTCTTTGGTTAGACAGCAACTCTGACGACTGGAGATACTGAATATTTCATTGATCTGATCAAATGGCAATCTGGGTGGTCTGAGATGGTACCAGTCTTCATTAAATATTGATCAACACCGACCAATCCGACTGTGTTACCACATGGAACATCTGGGATGTATTCGACTCTGCTGGCCATCATGAGAACTGTTCTTTAGATAGCTTTTTCAAATAAGTCTTCCTTCTTTCCTACTTTGTAGTTGGCTCCCCATAATTCTGACCTTTTATCCAGTAGCAATGGTACCAGAGAAAACTCTACCGAAAGCAAAGAATCTTCCTCTATCAGTTGTTGGGAACCATCTTAGAGACGTACATAATTAATGGACCCTTTGGGTTGCATTCTCTCATTGATTAAGCAATAGCATCATCTTATGGTCCTTCATATAAATATGAAGTTCTGTATTTTTAAGCCTTTCTTGGTGATGGTAAATGGCACACAATCATTTCAAGTAATGTATCAGCAGCATTAATCCATTTAGACATAGACAGCACTTGAGTAAATGCTTTCCTTCTAATTTAGCTTCTTCTTATGTGAGTTTCAATCCCAAAGTTTCAAACATTTTATTAGCTACATCCATATTTCCTTCCATAACAGCATTAGCCAATTTGCAGATTGGGTCCATGATGAAAGCGACGAAGGCTCTCTTCATAGCTTTTCCTGATCCACTGATGTTGTCTTTTCTCCAGCATTTTCCTTCAGCATCAAAGTAATTGTCTCCCCACAATCTTTCTTATAATTTGAGTGGTTCAACCTTGAATTTGTTTGGCATAGATTCTGGCAAATCTGGTGCATGAGAAGGCCCAGCATTCCTTTCCTGAACCAAATGAGACTGATCCGAGTTCTGGATGAACAAGGAGATCACCCATGTCTTCTTATTAATAGGTGTTGATGATGACATTGACCATATCAACGACTCTGACGAAGTTTTAATACATTGTTTCACCATCATGCTTCAATTCCAAGATAGCTCTATCGATTTTGTTAACCATGACGACTGGCTTGATCTTCTCTTACATAGCTTGTCTCAACACTGTTTCGGTTTAGACACACACACCTTCAACACAATCAACGACGACTAAAGCACCGTCTGTAACTCTTAAGGCAGCTGTGACTTCAGAACTGAAATCAACGTGTCCTGGGGAATCGATCAAGTTGATCAAAAACTTTTCTAAGGTCTTATTGTCATAAATGTCATATTCATAATAAAGAGAAACACCAGTTGACTTGATTGTAATACCTCTTTCCTTTTCGTCTTCTCTGGTATCTGTTGCTCTAGCATCACCAGCAACTTTGGAGGCGATAATACCAGCTTTGCATAACAATGAGTCTGTGAGGGTTGATTTACCATGATCAACGTGTGCAATGACAGACATGTTTCTGATGTTGTCTTATTTGTCCATGATCTCTCTGATTTGATCAACTGAAAAATTTACCATGTGTTTTTAACTTTTTAAAAAAAAGATTTAAATTTCCCCATAATTAAATCGTGGTTTTATATTAAATGCGCATAAATAAAAAAAATTCAATAATAATTAATATCTCACAAAAACGAGCAATCATTTTAATTCTTTAATAAAATATTTTAATTATTTATTAATATTATAATAATTCAAAGAAACATAATTTTATTTTTATCATTAAATTTTTAATTTCCATTCATATTCAAAACTCTGCAAAGTATTTGAATCAAATTTTGGCCATTTGAAAAATAACTGGCTCAGTATTATATGCTGAATATATTTACAATTGAAATTTCACAATCTACAATTCATGAGCACGATTTTTATTCATCTTTATTAGCAATTTGCTTATTTAGCATTAAACTAGTTTTGAGTATTTATCCTTAAAGATGATGAATATGTTATTTAACTAGATTAATTATGATTTATAAAGGTATATTTATACTCATAAAACATGGCTGATATAATATTCATTTTTATATAATTATACTTCTATATATATTCCAAATTTTAACTCCCTTCCTTAAATTCTGATATATCAAAAGAGAATATTTGGTTTCTCAAATGTATTTGAATAAAATTGAATTAGTTCTCTTAATTTAACTATTAATTGATTATTTATATAAATAAATTAGAAATTTGAAGTATTTTTATACAAATTTCCTTTAACTCAAAGTTTATTGGAATTAAAAGTGAAATATTCAAATATTATATTGATAATAATTATTTTATTTCATTCTTGCTTTTATTCAACTTATTCGACTTTTTCTGGTGCCTCATCTTTTTTAGTTAAATGAGTCATATATTTGTGCCATCTGATCAAATTTTATAGAACAGGATCAATATCTTTAATTTTAGCAAATTCATCGAAATCTCTCTTCCCAACAGAATAGCCATCGCCTTCCAAGAACATCTTTTCTTGTAATTCATCATTCAATTTCAAATGTGAATCATCGTGCTCATGAATTTGAACTTCTACATTTGATTTAGGAGGTTTTAGGGATTCAAAGAATTTACACAATTAAGGAATAGTTAATTTACCCTAGGATGATATAAAATATTAAAATTACAATTCTAGTATTTTTTTCACAATCTCTGACATCAATAACACCAGCTTTTACTTCCTCTTCACCAATAACTCCAACAAAGTTAAAGTATTAGATTTGAGCATTACGCACTTTCTTAGCAAGAGTTTAATCAGCTTCATCAGTAGTAACAGTGTATCCTTCAAGTCTCAATCTGGCAGCAATCTTTTCAGCAACATCCTTATAATAAGCAGAAACTGGACATAAGACTAATTATTTAGGAGATAACCAAAATGGCCACTTTCCTCCACATTATTCAGTCAACACAGCGATCATTCTTTCCAATGATCCTAAAATAGCTCTGTGAACAATGACTGGTCTTGCAAAACCTGCTTTTAAATGATGATAACCCAATTCATATTTCTTTTCTAGAAAATGTAATATATGAAGTAATACCATGTAAGACTTTGTGTAATTCATGTTGAGATAATCCTTGACTTGAACCAGATTCAATAATATCTTCAGGTAATTTTTATTTTTTATGTTAATCTTATTATTATTATTATGGTTCTTTTTATTACTTTTATTTCTTTTGTTTCTTAACATTCTATTCTTGTGGAGCTTTTTCTTAAACAGGATCTTCAGCAGGTTATTATTAAGAATTTTAAGGGGCAGTAGTAATATTATCAGTGTCTGAATGATGAGAAGCTTTCCTAACCACATCAATGATTTCTTAGGCAGCCTAAACTTATTCATTGTGAAGTTATTCCTTATCCTATTAGACTTCTTAAACATCTTCGCTGGCTCTGTATTACAAGTTAAATCTTTCAGGCAAATTGAAATCTAATTGAATGGTACCACATTAGTGTTCTCTCTTGTAGGCATCATATAATTTGACATCAATTTTTGGTCCATAGAAAGCACCATCTCCAGGATTGACTTCAAAGGGTTTTCCAAATTTCTTTAATCCTTATTCTAGTTGATATTCAGCATTATCCCAGACTTCTTTGGTTCCCAAGAATTTTTCAGGACGAGTACTCAAATACAATTTGAATTCGAATCCAAAGAGTGAATAGATGTAACTTAAAAAGTCAAGACAACTCTTGATTTCTTCTTAGATTTGATCCATTCTACAGAAGATATGTGCATCATCCTATTAGAAACGACGAACTCTGGTCAATCCACTCAAAGCACCATGTACTTCATTTCTGTGTAAGACACCAAAATCAGCAAATCTAACTGGTAAATCTCTGTAACTGTGTTGGATCATATCAAACATAAGACAATGTCCTGGACAATTCATGGGTTTCAAACCATATTCTCCCTCTTCACCCATGTTAATGAAGAACAAGTTTTCCTTATACTTATCATAATGTCCACTTATCTTCCAGAGTTAAGCATTGAAGATGTTTGGTGAAATAACTTCTTAATAGCCTCTGATATAGTATTGTCTTCTTAAAAAGTTCATTAGAGTGTTGTAAATATGAGCACCACTTGGATAGAAGAAAGCTGATCCAGGAGACAATTGATGGAACAGATACAAATTCTGTTTCTTACCTACATTTCTGTGATCTCTTAAGGCTAATTCCTTTTATATTTTGACATATTCATCCAACAATTTCTTACTTGGGAATGAAACACCATAAACTCTTTACAAATCATCATTGGTGTTCTTACCCAACCAATAAGCAGCTGAGTTCTTGGTCACTTAAAATGCCTTAACATAGCTAGTATTGGGCAAATGTGGACCAGTGCATAAATCGATTAAATTACCACATTTGTAAGCAGTAGTCATCGCTCCTTCTGGGATCTTATTGGTTATCAACTGTCTCTTAAATGGATTAGTACCAAATAATTCTAAACTAAAAGATAATGGCGATCATTGATACCATTCATCTTTGGTTAAGACTGCTCTTTAAAATTCTTATTTGGATGCTGCTAAATCCGAAGCAGCTTTCTCTATTTTTACATAATCATTCTGAGTGACCTTGTAATCTCCGATGTAGCAATCATAAAAGAATCCACCATCAATTGCAGGACCAATACACAAATGACATCCATATACTTCTTCCAATGCTGAACCCAAAATGTGGGAAGATGAATGCCAAAATACTTCCTTACCATTATTATCATCGAAACTCAATAGTTCCAATTGGCAATCTCCTTCCAATGGTCTAGTCAAATC